ATCCGACCTACAATTGAAGGGTAGATTTTTTATTCGAACCCAATAGGGCGATTTTGTTAGGGCAACCTCGTTTGGTTATTCATTACCATCAATCTCCTTCAAAATCCCAAACATATTATCAAAGCACCAAGGTCTGCCATTTAAGACTTTCTCCGTATCCTTCCAATGAAAGAATTGAAAGGCATATAAATTAAGGCTTAGAACCCTAATCGCAACCCCCTTAGCAGGAGACCACACATTCGTAATTGTCTTTTTAAAAGCATCGATCTACATTATAAGATCTACGGGTAAGTAATTTACCGATGAGCATAAGAGACAAATTCTTCTCCTCATCCACAGGTTCAATATCGCCAAGGTCAAATGCTCAGTTCTCCTCTTCATAAATACGTAGGTGAGAGCACAACTCTGTAATTTCCTCTGCCATAATCAAGGGAAAGCCAGAAAAGTCCACCGGAAAAACGGTAAGGTCCTCCGCCATAATATTATGACTCACCTTAGTTAAGAAGTCCTGGCGCTTATATATATTAGTTAAAATCCAAGATCGGTTTATATACTCTATTAAATCATACATAACCTAATTAATGAAATGACGTATCTGTCCTTATACCCTAATAATATGAAAGGCTAAATGCATGAAACCTATCACTCTAAATTGAACCAAACAAACACTAATTCAGTTAATTAAGTAATGAAAAATTCGATTTTTATGCCTAATTTGTTTGAAGATCGCTTGTTCGTTGTTTAAATTGAAAAGGGAAAGAAGTTGATTGTTGGCTTTCTTTGTGAATTCAAAGATTTTTATAAAAAATGTAAACCCTAATTTTGCCCTATTTCGATTTATTTGGGTAAACTTTTGATTTCTTGTAAAAATCGCTAGAGAAGTTTAATTTGATGGAAAATAAATCTCAATGTATGCTAGGCTTTTAGCGGTGGTAGCAACATACTAGTTGTGGTGGTTGTAGTGGAATGACGCGGGCTTTGATTTTTTTTTCCTAACATCTTCATGCTTCCTTGTTAATGAACTATTTCAATTTTTCTGCTCTAATTTATTGATATACTATATTTTTATTTGAAATGGAAGAACGTTGATGAAGTAGAGTTATTAGTCCTCCTCCAATGTTGGAAGATGACTTTGTAAGCTTAGTGATGTTGAACATGCAAGCAAAGTAGATAGAGAATGGGTTTAATAAGGGTTTTCATAAATTAATTTTATTTATTACAAAGCCACTAGTTAATGAGAAACGATGTATGGTGACATTATGTTCAGACAAAAATCGTCAAAAATGGGTAAAGTTAGTAATAGTAATCATATCAGCTTTACTAAATTTTTTATTTCTCTCAACTTTTTCATATTAACTTACTCAATTTTATTTAATTCAAGATCGAACCCTTAAAATTGCGACTTAAATCACCAATGAGTTTTCTTTAACCTCCATACCTTTTATTTATTTATTTATATTTATATAACCCTTCATATTTTTTTTTTTTTTTTTTAAAATAAACCTTCATACCTTCTCTTGTTGTACTCCAATTTTAAAGTTTTCCAAATCATTTTTGTTATATATAAACAATGCTTCTTGTTTTATCTATTTGGGTACTAAAAAATTAAAAATGACTTATATTTGGCCTAATAATACCTTAGCACTTTTGGGCCTTTAATTTCACATGCCAATTAAATTAATCTAGCTTGGCCTATTGTTTCCAAAAAGAAAAAAAAAAAAGAAAAAAAAAGCTAGCTTTGCCTAATTAGCTTATAACAGCTTATAAGACCCCTGTATCACTTATCAGCTCCATGCCATCTTGGCCCATCTTCCTAACTATTGAAAGATACTTGTATAAGCCTCTAAAGAAGACTCCCAAGTCCAAAGGTATCTAGCATTTAGCATTTTTGCACTTGTTCTCTTATACCGACATCCTTCCATTGTATTGTCCCCACGCTAACTTAGACATCAAAGATGTGTTTTTGGACACACCCTCAAAGCCAGCTTACATGCTTATTTGTGTAAGAATGATGCTTAACTCAATAAACGTAAGCTCATTGGAGTTTTCACCCACTATAGAAGTGAACCTCATTCGAAGTGATTGATTTTACATCGAATGTTTTAATTATTGAAACTTAATACCTCCCTATTTGTTAGAAGAATAGCATGTCAAAGAGAAATTATATTAAATCAAGTTTCATAGATAGAGACCGTGACACCTTAGAAAAACGAGTCAAAGAGTGTGTTTTACTCACTTGATTTTCATTTATCTAAACTTATCTTATATTATGTTAAGTTATGTTATTATAACTTACCTTAACTTATTAGACATTTTTAGAGATTATTTTAGTTGTAATTTTATCTAATTTTTGAATAAATTATCATACTTCGTATAAAATTAGACATTTTATCTTATTACATTCATCTTAATATAATTTTTCTTATTCATAATAAAATCTACTAATTATTAAAATTATGCATTATAAAAAATCAAGATTTTTAATTTCCCCATTTGAAGATATTCTTTATCTATAACTAATACTAAAATAACAACCGCTGACATCATTCTTTTTCCCAAAGTGTACACGTGTCAGCTTCTCCTTCAATTTTTTCTCGCCTAATTTTTTTTTTAGGAAAAGCTAAATATTGACTGCAAAGTACTTTTAAATCGTAAGGTACATATAGCTAATTTTAAGGAAATTAAATATTAACCTTGTATATACGTGATTACTCCGTTTAATTACAAAATCCACTAAATTTTGTTGTAGATACGAATTTTCTTTTGTTTATATTATTTTAATTTTTGTAGTTTGGTTTATGTTAATACCAAGATTTTACATATTTTGAGTGATGATATGACTTGAAAATGTGTACAATTATAGAATCTTTTTGTTATATCCGTGTGGGAGCTAATCAAGTACTCCCTCCGTTCCCTTTTGTTTTTTACGTTTTCATTTTAGGTGTTCCTTTTTATTCTTTACATTTAATATCTTTTCTCTTTTAGTCATAAATTTTGGACAAAATTACCCTTGCTTTACAATTTAAATACTCAACTAACCTTTAAATTTCCATGTGCAATTGTACTTTTTGTACTATTTAGTTGGTTTTCCATACTCATTATTACTTTCTCTCTCATCTCTCTTCTAATTTCTTCGACCCCACATGTACAATATTATTTGTTTAGATAGAATTGTACTTTAAAAAATTGAATTATTGCGAAATACCTCTAATTTACACTATTTCTTAATAACCGCATATAATTCCAAACGTCAAAAACAAATGGGAAAGGAGGAGTACTTATATAAAAACAAAAGTAATAAAAAACCAAAAGTATGTGGAGGAAAAGAAGAAGGAAAAAAAAAAAAAAAAACCAAAAGTGATGATGGTATGTATGTACATACTTGTGTGATTGTAATTGACATTTGGAGAAAAGTAACAAGCATGCACAAGTACAACCTTCCCCTTCTCCTACTTCTCAAACTTGTCATTCTATAGCTCGGTCTCCTCTACCTCGACATCATCAAAATCCTCACTCCTTCCATTCTTCTTTCTCGCCGGAAATCAGTTCTACGGCCACCGCCTCCAAGGTAATTTTCTCTTTTTTCGTGATTTCATTCTCTACTCTCACGGCTGATCTCAGATACACGGCTGCTTCTGCCGCCGCTCACGGTGGTGGTGCTGATGAATATGCTAGTGTTAATTTAGATATTGCTAATTTGATCGTGATTAGTTCAGCATTTCTGGGTTTTGATTATTAATTTATAATTGAGGTTTCAGACCTAGAAGTTTGGATTTGCAATATCTGATTTTAGAGTTATGAGTTAGATTTGATTTAGTGTTTGATTGAAGTATATGTAAGTATGTATAATTTTGTTTCTATATCTTTGTATTTTATTGATGGATTGATTTGTTGTTTATTTGAATAGTACTATGATGTTGTGTTGTAAAGTGGGTTTATATTGAGGTACTCCGTATTATGTAATTATACTCATTCCTTGGTCCATGAATTTTCATCACATAGGGTTTGGACCGTCGATTAGGAAAATAGTGGGAGATGGGTCATAAAATGATTATATGTGATAGAAACTTGAAATTGGATGGAGAGAAAAAGTGGTAAGGAAAGGTGTAGGAAGGGTGAGGAAAAAAGGGTTGATGTGATAAGGGAGAAAAGGTTGTGAGATATAAGGGGGGACCGATGTCATCTGGGGTGTGGGAATCTTTTTCTAAAGTTGGTAATGTGAATCATCCCATTTAGTGAATATGGAGAGAATTCCGAAATATGTATGTGATTCTAGACAGTTGGATGATTGATAACATATTGGACGATGCTATTAACTAAAGTGGGAGGATAAAGTGTGTAAGTGTTTAACTCTCATTTGGTATCTCCAAGAATAATGGACATATTAAATATTTTTTTATTGAATAATGATCGAGGGCTTTATTGATTGATTTATGCTGCTTGCGGCAAGATATTGAATTGCTCCCTCTTTTTTGACCAGCCAGGGCTCTTGGATCACAATTAAGATAAGTATGAGGGGTGTGTGCACTAGAGGTTGTTGGAAGTAAACTATTCAGGGTTTCTTGATTTATTCATGATAGGCGGGCCAGGTCTCCTCGGTCTATCATTGTCTCAGTAGGTTGGGGGAGGGAAGTCGTCTGAGATTCACTCCTATAGTAAAATTGATATGAATTAGAACCGATTGGTATGGAGCTGTGAATGTTCAGCATGCATTATATATCATCTGATCATTCATGTGTGAGTAATTAATTTTAAACATGACTACCAATGCTAATTCATACATGCCAAATTAATAGCCCACTTTCTATTTTCCACATAATAAGCTAAATTATTATCTATCCCATTGTGCCATCAATGTTCAACATTTAGATTTTCCACGACTCCAATAGTTTAGATATGACGAAATGTTCCATAAGGGTGTGTTTGGATAAAGAAATGGGAAAGAAAAGAAGGGAAGGGAGGTGAAGGGGAGGGAAGAGAAAGGAAGGGGAGGGAAGAAAGACGAGTTTTCCCTCCAAATCTCTCCATTGTTGGAGACATTAATTTCTTACAACCAAATCCTTCCATTTCTCTCCCCTTCAAGTCCTTTCCTTCCTCATTTGTTATCCAAATGAAAAAAAATCAATCCCTCCATATCCCTTCCCTTCTTTTCCCTCCATTTCCTTCAATTCAAACAAAGTGTAAATCATATAAAGCTGGTTGGTCAGGTGATCCTTAATCATATTGTCCAGCCTGTTGTACAAATGTACAGTTCTAATATCACTAACTCATTCTTGGTTTTTCTTCTTTCTCATCCAGTTTTGATACTATTTTGAATATTCTTAATTTTGAGTTCTACTGAATTTTTGCTACCGATCACTCAGATGGGGGATCAAACGAATCAGTCGGAGCCAAAAATCGAGGAGGAAATGGAGAGAGTGGTAGAGCTAATAAAACAATTGCAGGAAGCAGCAACTTCTTTGATTTCCATGTCATCGAGAGAAGAGAAAGTCCTTCAACAACGTGCTCTTTCACTCGATGCATCCATTGTGAAACTTCGTTCCTCCATCAGTTCTCTCATGATGGATGGTCGCATAGATGCCACGCTAGCTGAAAAGGTTCTTCATCAATTACTTTATAGTTGAGCTGATTTGGTTGTTTTTGTTGTTTGTTGCTGTAATTGTGATTTTTTTTTTTTTTTTTTTTTTTTTTTTTTTTTGGTGCAGCTTGAGGATGAGTTGAATAAAGCAAAATGCATTCTCGTTGATGGAGATGCTTCATCTTTTCTTGCTGGCAAAGTTGACAGTGCGTGTCATTTGTTTTTTCACTTGGGATCAACATTCGTTGCTAATTGTGGTGACTAATTAGTTTGATTTTCTATATAGGTCGGTTCTTGAAGATGTTTCTTGGTCCAATTAACGTGCGAGCCATAAGGAAGGATGTGCAGTTTAAAGTCAAAGAGGAGTATAATAGGTACAAGGTTGGTTCTTTTTTGCTGATCACTTATTTTTGATCTTTATTAATTATTGCCTTTTTGACAAATCGGAATTTGTTGCAATTGATTTATTAAGCATTCACCGAACAAGTACATTAAATTGATTCTTTAAATTATTAGTTTGGTTTTTCTATATAGGCTGTACAATTTGTAGAAAGAGAAAAAGGGGAAATTGGTTCCTGGGTGATTGTGTGCCTTTCACCGCCTGTCACTCTTACTAATGCATAACTTTGATGTGAATATCTCTGATAATCTTGTAAGAAAAAAGTATAAATTTTTGATAGTTTGGAAGTATGTATTAAGACAAATCTAACAAGATCTCACATGACTTATTTTCCTTGTGTATAAATCATGTAATATGGTCAAAGGAAAGAGCATGAATAGTATATAAGTCCAAATGGTGCAAGTAGCAAAGAATGGAGGAGGTACAAATTATCCTGGAAGAGGGGGGGGGGCATGGAGAGTTAGAAAGAAAGAAAATGGTCTCTGTTAGTTGGATTAGCAATTTTGGTTGCTAGATTTATTCAGTTATTTGCGTACACTTGTCACACTTTTAAAAACTGCTAAGGATTCATGTTCAACTCAAATCAACAACTATTGCTGAATGATACAGATTAAAACTTTTTGTTCAGCATTTGGTGTGGATAGTTAAGGAAGAAAAAAAGCAAGGGATAGGGGTGGTGAGCTGAAAGGAGTTTTCTTAATCAAGTAATCAACCACCCCTGTGATGCCATTATTAAATCTGTAAGTTTTGGAAGGGGTCCTTATTTATGTCAGGGTAGGGGAGCTCACATGTATGTAACCTTGTTTGTACAATTGCTAGAGTTTCCAATAATACCCCTAACTGGAAAGATACTATTGATTTAACAAAATGATAAATAATGAGCCAAAGGCAATTACTGAGATATCTAATTTAATTCATTGTATTGTGGTTAAATCTGTCATATTGTCGTGAAATTTATTTTACTAGGTGCTTAGGTAGTAAAACATATGCATGTGTGAATATCATTTTTTTTTTCTATGGATGACTAAATCTATAGACTAACAGCTTCCATATATTGCCTTTTTGTGTGCTTTCATCTTCTTTCTTTTGTTGATCCCTCTTTTTCTTTAGGTTTCTGGATAATTTTTTTTTATCTAATTATGTCACTCTTTGGTTAACCAGGATAGAACTGCCTGTTTGTTTCTTCTTTTGCCATCAATGCTACTATTTCTTAGATCTTGGATGTGGGGTGGCTGCATGCCTGCTTTTCCAGTTCAATTGTATCAGGTACAGGCTAGACTTGGCCACATAAACTGCAATTTTGTTTTTATAGTTAGCTTAATTTAATCACAGCTATTTGTGTACTTTGTTAGGCTTGGCTTTTATTCCTGTACACAGGTTTGGCTTTGAGAGAGAACGTCTTAAGAGTGAATGGGAGTGACATTCGTCCATGGTAATGCTTTTAATTCTTTATGCCTTGTAGTCTTGTTATATCATGTGTATTAATTTAGTTGTGGCAACCTAGTTTCAATCTTGTGCATGAGTTTACTTGGTGTATTACCTAATTGTGTTATATGTCCCCTATTTACTTAAAATTGCAACACTTACAATTGGCACAATTCGGCAAGAGTAGAGAGGTCGTAAGTGAGTTGCTAACCCATGTAATTACAAAAAAGTGTGAATTATATTATACGATAGGGGGGGATAGAGAAAGAGCAGGCCAATTATGAGTAAAGTGTCACAAAATTTTGAAACATCCCAAATTAGTAAGTGTTTCAATTTTTGTGAAACAAGGAAATTATACAAATATTTGAGTTTTAAATTCATTTAGCCGGTCATTTTCCTTCGATTTACTGGTTTATGCTCCCTTTAGTTCTCTAATGAGCATGTTGTACTTATTTAGATGTACTTTTTTGGAGCTTTCCTGCATCCTTTTGTGGTGTTGTTTCTATAGTCAACAGGCCCCACGATATCTGGTAGGTTGATTCTGACTTAGATCAGCTACACTGCTCTAGATATAACTTACTCCATATATGTTAGTGTGTATACTGAAAGACTGTAGTTATTATGTGTGGGCTATCTTACCAGGAAAGCATGCTATTTGTATGTTTTTGGGTTGGAAGGGGAGCTTTTTTATGGTGTTTTGCTGGGCACTGGAAGTTTATTTTATATTATTTTATATTATTTTTATTTGTCATCCATATTTACATCCATATTCATTTACCTCCCCCCTTTTTTGCACTATTCGCTCCCTCAAACATTAATCTTAGGTAATGGTTTAAACAGTGTCTAAAGTTACGTTGTGCTAACTTTTGCAGGTGGATTTATCATCATTACTGTGCAATGGTAATGGCACTTGTGAGCCTTACTTGGGAAGTAAAAGGCCAACCTGACTGTGCTCAGAAGCAGGTTAGGTTTTTTTTTTTTTTTATTTTATTATTATTATTTTTTTTTATGGAATGCTTCATGTTATAACCTGTAGATTCATGCATAAGGTTTTAGCCTTAAGTAACAAAATTTATCTTTCATGTGCTCTAAAATAATTTGGTTAGCTGCATTAATGAATATTCCTGCTGTTATCTTTGTGAAGATCTATTACTCTGGCAATATGGAGTTTTGACTTTATGACTTACACTAGAATCAAGTATAATTTTTCAAAAAAAAAAAAAAAAAAAAAAGTATAATGGAAGATAAAATGACTCAAGCAGTGAATTCTTACTTATTTTATTTCATTTAGCATTCCTTTCTTGTTGAGTTCAATTTTGACTAGTCTTACATGTGATAAGGGTCTTTTAAGCCACACTTTCCATGCATAAACAGAATAAGGACTTTTGATCCTGAATTTTTTAGCTTTAATACTTCCTCCGTTTTTTTAATATTGCACCACTTGCCTTTTAAGAAAGTATTACAAATATTACACTATTTCTATTTTAAGAAAAGAAATATTTGTGTTCACACTACAAATACCAAATATACCCTTACTTTTCAACACTTAATTTTTTATTTTATGTATACCATCACATGGGCAATCTTGTATTTTTACCTTTCTCTCTCATCTTTTTTCCACTATCAAAAATCTTGTGCCAAACTCCTATGGTGCCATAAAAAAAAGAACGAAGGAAGTACTTAGTTTTGTGATGGGAACTCTTGATCTGAGCGGTGCAAAAGGTTTTGTGCTTAGGTAGGAGCATGCTTTACATAAAGCCAATGCTTCTATGTGAATGAAAGTATGAAATAAGTAGCTTTGAAACTATAATTGGATTATGATCTAACATCTAACAATTTGTCACTTAAATTGTAGCCGTCGAGTTTGATTGTGCTGTCTAACAATTTGTGAGTCCCCTAGTAGGATTCAAGCTTGAGTGTCGAGCTGTCTAGATCTCTCTCTAATTAGAAACTTATATTAGTAAATGCAAACATGCTTAGATAATGAAAAAGGATTATTATTTTTATTTATTTATTTTTTTTTTTTTTTAATATCTTTGACTTCAAACGAAGAAATTCTTTAGTATTTTTTGTACAATTCTTGGCACTAAGGGATTTCATTTATAAAACAGGTTGATCACTTCTTTTTGTATCTAATTTGATTCCATATTTTTGAGCTCTGAAAGAAACTGTGAAGTTACTTTTTTTTGAGGCCAAGGTATATAAGCTGAAGTCAATGATTTCCGTACGTTTGTTGAGGCTGATCATCATTTACAACCTGATATACATAATTAGGTTTGTTTCTTGTTTGTTTTATAACTCGCTTAATTTCATGCAGAGAGGGGTTGAACTTTTCCTACAATGGGCTATGATGCAAGGAGTTGCAATGCTATTGCAAAATCATTACCAACGGCAAAGGCTATACACTCGCATTGCACTAGGAAAGGTCTGTGCTTTTTAATTTGAGGCTACGCTCATCAGCACATGCCCCATGAATTTTGTCTAAATAAAACTTTTTGGCATAACATGTTTGGCTATCAACTTAGATTTGAGGAGTTTGTAATTGGTATGAATTTTGGACATCCATTGGTTTTCTATTGGCTACATTATGTCTTGACCTCGACTACATGGAAGAATAGGCTGAAAGGATCAGCGGTTCAACCTCAATTTTCCTTAAATAGCAATAATTTTAAGAAGATTATTATAAGAGGCTCGAGCAAGTATGCTATAGTATCAAAAATTAACTGAAGGTCATCATCAACTTGAATAGTAATTGATACTCCCTCCGCCCCTTTTATAGTTCCCTTTTGGACTGTGCACGTATGCCAATGCAACACTTTGACCATAAATATCGTTAGTTGCTTATTAGTAAAAAATCTAACTATTGAATATTAATAATCCATTCATCGAGACGAATCAAATAAGACCCAACATGACCATGTTATGTTTTATATATTAAGAGTAATTTAGAAGATTCTCTCACATTATGAATAGTGTCAAAATTCCAAATGGGAACTAAAAAAAGGGGCGGAGGGAGTAGTTATTTAGTTGCGTATTATATCAAGGTTAGTATGAATATGATGGATTTATTGTAACTACATCCATGAAGTGAGCATATATAGGCTTAAGTAGACCTAATTTTTGCATACACCATAGAGTTTCCAATGGAGCTGGTGTGTTGTCGAAGTGCACACAAAATTAAACCTTGTTCACCTTAAGAAATAGCTAGGGCAAGTAAGAGTCGATCCCACGAGGAAAGTAAGTCTAAAATAACAAGTCACCAGATCCAAGTTACACAAGAGTAACACGATTTGGGGGGTGGGGGGTTGATAAATCTAATCTAAAATAACTAAAGGAATGGGCAAGAGTCGATCCCACGAGGAAAGTAAGTCTAAAATAACAAGTCACCAGATCCAAGTTCCACAAGAGTAACACGATTTGGGGGGTGGGGGTTGATATGAGAAATCTAATCTAAAATAACTAAAGGAATAATAAATAAAATGGGTTATAACTAAAGAACAAGCAATCAATGGAGAAAACACTCGGTAGATAATCAGATTCCAGCCCTGGAAACTTCGTAAAATCATTGACACATTAATTAACCCTTTAGGAACAACTTGACTTATGGAACAAGTTCCTCTGTTATCCCTTATTAATGGTTACGACTTTCACTAACCCTAACCAACAAATAACCCCTATACTACAAGCAAGGAATTTAACGTGTTGATAGCATTAGGAACTAGGAAAACATCAAGCCTAGACAACCATGACATTATTGAAACACGGTTTCACCTAGATCAAGAATAACTTTACAATTAATAGAGTGGAATGTCCTCTACAATTGGTTGCTACTTCATTGACATTCCCAAGCAATTACGGACTTAGTAGTATTAATTAGCAATAGAAATTAGACCCAAACAAATAGTTGTGCACTTACTTATAAGAAATCATCATTCATAAAAATAAACAGTAATTCAAGAATATTCCCAAAATATTAACTAATTACATGGTCTTCTCTATAAAGAATTACTCACTCATGTTACTGAGCAAAGAAGAAAAGCTTTTAGAGAAAAACATGTCGAGTTCCTCTAGGCAGTTCCTTCTAAAAGTGAACACAAGTGAGAGATGAATGAAGAATGGGATGCCTTAAACGCTGAATAACTTTGGGGTTTTATAGAATCGTGATAGAACTATTTCCCAAGTAAAAATCTCTAAAATACCTAAGATATTATGAGATAAGGAAAGTAGTTGGATAGAATCTAGGAAATTCTATCTTTTGCCAAATCTTTTCCTAAGTGATAGGATCTTCTTCTTATCAAATATATCTTCCTTCCAACTGTAAATATTCAAGAATTATTCTCCAAGTAACCAAATATCACGTTGCAATGAATCTGGACAAGTCCGGCCAGTAAGTTCCTTTGCATATGCGTCAGTCTTCCAGTTCCTCCGAAGGAACTTAACATATATTCATTTGCATTTGACATTGGCTCCTTTATTCAGTTCATCTTTTTATCATCCAAAATGACTCAATAACCTATAAAAACACACAATAAGGAAATAAATTACAAAATACCAATAACATAGATAAAAGCACTAAAATGCTAATTGAACCAACCTATAATCTAAGGAACATGACTAGAAAATAGGGTCATAAATGACACTTATCAGGAGCTCATACTATTGTTTCTGATGGAATGTTCATATTGCTCAGAGGCTGCTACTATTAGTTCTATATTGAGTAGACTGTTGTCAAAAGAAAGAAATAGCTGTTGCATTGATTGTGGTAATGATTGCAGATTTGTGGAAGCAAATATGTAATGGTTGTTATGTTGTGTGTTATGTCTGACACAGCTTGAATTGACAAATTTGGAAAAACTGGATTCCTTCATTGTAATTTACTAATTTTAAGTGTTTATAATTATTGATTACACTTGCATGCTTCAGCATCTTATGTTCTGTGAAGAAACAAGTGATTTTATGATGTGACTATAATATGATTCTGAATGTGAAAATATTAGCATTAGTATGCATGACGATTAAATATTTAAAAGAGCCTCATGTGGTTTAGAACTAGCCACCCACATTGAAGAAGAGTAAGGAGGATGACCAGCAATATAAGTTCGATGGGCTATCGATTAACAAGTGGGATGGATTAGATAGCCGTGGAATCTCTGGGCTTGTATGTGGCCTGACTCTTTTGACAGAAAATTTGGCGTGTTTTAAACACTTGTTGTGAGATGGATCTTTCCATTAAGTTTGATTGAAAATCTTTTATAACATGAACTTTATTTTAACACGAGTGTACTGCTATAAGCTTCACTAGGTTTGTGATTTTGTGTCCAATTTTTTGACACATTATTGCTAGGCTTGGGGAACTTATTCATTGTTGTTTCCATGTTTGTGTGAAATTCCCCATTCTTGTAGTGCGATAATTTGCAAATATTGTTCAGGCAGGAGAGGTGACCCCCTCCTATGATCTATGTGTAATGGTATAGCAGTTTTACACTGTTATCTTCTGACATATTTCAGGCAAAGAGAATGGATGTTGTGTGGGGCGAATCAACTGGAGAGCGTGGCCAGCTTTTGCTGCTTTGCCCTATTCTTTTCATTTTGCAGGTATTTGGTATTCAGTGCTTATTGCATTACGAATGCTGCATAATCTTTTATTGTTGCATAATGCATTATGTACCTATACTTTGCCTTATAGTTTTTGTTTTGCATGTACTTGGGATTGTATTATTACATCAAGGAAAGGATTTTATTACGTTCCCATGTTTGGTTTGATGGATGAAATGGGAATTCATATGAAAGGAAGGGAAATGGGAGGAAAACCCCTTTACAAAAGTTTCACCCCCCCCCCCCCACTTACCCCAAAAAAAAAATTGGAGGAATTTGACAGGGAAGAGAAAAATAACAATTGTATCGAATTTCCTTTCGCTTCCATTCTTTTCCTTTCATTACACAAAGGTTAGAAAATAAAATCTCTTCCCTTCCCCTTCCCCTCCTTTTTCTTCTTTTCCTTTACTAGTATCGGACCCAATAAAGCCTATGTTTGGAGAAAGAAATGAAGGGAAAGGAAGAGAATAGAAAGGGTGGTAATTGTCATCCCTTATTTGATATCATATAGAAGAAGGGAAGGGAGGGAAGGATCTATTTTTCTTCTCTTTATTCAACCAGATCCTTCCAATATTGGAAAGATTTAGGAAGAAATGAAGCTCACTCTCTCCTTCCCCTTTTAATAATCCCCTCCTTTCCGTTTCCCTCAATAATTGCTATCCAAACATGTGTTTTATTGATGGGATCTAGGTGTCTATATGTTGCTTTACCCATATGAGGCTGCGAGGCGAATGAGAGTGATGAGGAAAATTTACTTGCTACTGAATAGGCCTGACCTTTTATATAATATATGCTTTAATAAATTAAAATGTACAATTGGTGTGCTAAACTACGAGCCCCATCTAACCATCTTTCTATGAGCCAAAATTTTCTTTTTTATTGAAAAGTATGTCCATAAATGGCCTTTTTAAGTATGTCCACAAATGAAGTTATTATTGTTTTAAATTTCTTATAGAAGGCAATCAGTTTTACTTTGTTATATTGGCACAGTTGTTGATTCATGCTTGTGGATGGATGACTAGTTAACTTCTGTGTTAAGTATGTTATCAATAAATCTGTTGAGTCCTAGTTGCCAAGATCAAACTCAATAGAACAGAGTATGCTCATTAATTGTTTGTACCCTGCAAATTTTTTCCAGGGCTTTGAGGCATATGTTGGATTGCTGTTGCTTCGAACTGCATTTGCTGGGGTTGAATGGCAGGTGAGCTACCTGTCTTACAGCCTTTTCAATTTCCCGTAGAGGAGGGAAAAAGGGTTATGTGAATTCTTCCTGCTTAATATTTCAACAGTATTACGATAAGTTAGTATTTAGTAACAAGTACCTTTGGCAGGTTGTCTTCTGTGGATTTCTCCTGGTTTTGATGGCAGTCGGGAATTTTGTAAACACGGTGCAAAGTTTGCTTGTCAAATCGCGGTTTAAAGCAAAGATGAAAAGGACTAAAAGTCAGCAACAGATAGATTAGGAATGAAATTTCTGAAAAGTTTTGATATTCTCATACCAGTTTTATTTTCTTCTCCTTTTTACAATGTATATTCTCAGTTTGTTGGTTATGTGATGCTTTGGTCATACAGTAGATTTGCTAAAGGTACATCAAAAGAAAAGAAAAGAATAAATAAGAAAAGGATATCGACATGTATGATTATTAATTTACCACAAACTACTTGCGTTTTTTAGATTCGATTGAAATTGTATTAGTGAATAATGGGTATTTCCCAATATTGACTTTAATGTATTCATTCTTACTACTCATTTGTACTCTTAGAAATGCTCAGCAGTCAATGAAAATGCATCGAAATTCCAAAGGTGCATGTTCTCATTCTTAAAAATGCTCAGCAAGACAGCAACTTGGAATCATCTCAACATGCAAACAAACTACGAATTCGAGTTTCAAAATGGGAAATGACCAAGATCAACTAGTTTATGGCCTCACTAAGTATAAATCATACAAGTAAAAAGAACAGCAAAGTTGGAGGCTATCTTTGTTGAACTCAATAGCCTTGCATTCGAGAACCGTTATTTGCTCGGGGAACTTTGCTGGACTATAATAAGCTGTTCCTAAAATCTGGTTTAGAATTAGAATGTTGATCAACAAACCCCGTAACTGTTTCGCTGAGGTGAAGAGTTTAGTGTGCATAAGTACTCTTTACTATCACTACTAATAGCTTACAGTATGACTTTTCAATAAGGAAATCACTATCAACAATCATGGGCCGACAGGAGAAGAGTCTTTAATGATCCAATTAGTTTAGTTGGTAGTTGTAATTTGCAAACCTTATCTTCAATTCTGCAAATTAGGCTATGAATCCTATGTGTGCTGTGTGAATTTGCGAAATCTTAGTTATTATGGATACTTATCCATTGTTCCACAATGCTGGTTACACAAGATGTAACACATACTCCTTCCGTCTTAAAATTAAGTGTCTGTATTCCATTTTGGGTTCCAAAATTAAGTATTCATTTCTATCTTCATACTCTTTTGGTGCCTACATGTACTGATTGCACAAACCAACAAAATATATTAAATGCATTTTCATTATTGTCTCCATCAGAAAACAAAATATAGCATTTTCTTTTTAATTATTCTCGATGTACTTCACACGTGATTTTATACTCCCTCCACTTTCTTTAATTCTCGTACAAAATAAGAAACGGACACTTAATTTTGGAATAGGGGAGTATTATATTTTTTTTTCAGTAACATATAATATTTGGGAAAAGAAAAATAATACTATTAGATTATTGTGAAACGGGCACTTCCAATGTCTATAGCCATCTTCCTTTTCATTATTTTCTTAGATTATTGTGAAACGGAGAGTATAATAGAGCTACATATCTATTTATTTTGCAAGATTACCTTTTTCAAATTTTCTTTTAGTCATATACTGTAACTGAGAAACAATTGGCTTTGTTGATAACAACTTAAACGACAATTTTGTAGATGATCCATCCTTTTACATATTGTTTCATTCCTACAAGCTTGGGCGCTTGGCCCCCAAGTTTAGGTTGTAAATGTGATAAATACTGTGATCCTCTTGCTCTATTTAAGTCACTTTGACAAACTCATAAGCAGCTAAAACCAGAAAAAACAAATACAAAAAAAATTCAAAAGAAGAAGATTGACATTTTTTTAAAATGCAAATCTTCGTGCAAACTTTAACAGGGACAACCATAACCCTAGACGTCGAACCAAAAAACACCATAAACGACCTGAAGTCAAAGATTGAAGAAAAGGAAGGAGTTCCAAAACCCGAACAACGCCTTCTTTTTGGTAACAAAGAGCTACTTGAAGATGGCATTGATGAAAATGAGTTTCAAAGTGAAGGAAGAGGAGAGTAAATGTACACTCTGACACATTATAACATAAAGAGTGGCTCGACCATTCACCTTACCTGAAGACTTGGTGGTGGCGGCTTATATGCTTATTCATTACTAGTACTACCACACTTAGCAGCTTTAGCTTACCGATGCAAGCTTCAGAAGAAGGTATGTCGCAAGTGTTATGCTCGACTCTCACCTCATGCTACCAATTGCCGCAAGAAGAAGTGTGGCCATAGCAACCAATTACGCCCTAAAAAGGTTTGGAGGTATCTTCATTATTTAAGATAGTAAAACATCTAATCTTATTCATGCAATCATGCATGTAACATTTTCCGTTCACCTTGTTAGTTGTGTGTGTTTTTTCAAAGATTTCATGTGTACTACCCAATGAGAAAATAATCTTCATTAACCTTGGATTCATATTTACATGAAGAAAACTTGCAATATATACATGCAATTTCATATGTTAAGCAATGATCCGTATTACTTAGCTATTTACAATGTTATTTGTCCATCTGTACAAAATAATTTTTGCGGACAATTATGAAGTATAACCTAGGCTAACTTACAGCAACTCCATTGCTGAGCTCTTTCCGGTAAATCTGAATTAAGCCACTTTCATCAGCTATGGGAAGCTTCTCCTCGAGCATAATTTTATATTGTTCGTCTCTATCATCAATGTTGCGCATCAAGTCAACCTGCAGTTTGGAAGGAAGAGAAAAAAATGAAATACCAAATTCAGTCACTGTAAAAAAAAAAGGCTATGTTACACCATATAGTTGTCTTTGTGTTAGAAAATCATTAGATAAAGTAGACACAACAAAGTATTAAACATACAAGTATATGTTATAGGCCCTTACTTGGCTGCACATTAGACCTTTTAATCATGAGATCGTGTACATAATGTGCATGCGTGTAGAAGAGTTGTAGCATTATTGATCTCACTACATTTCTATATAAAACTGTATGTAGTAAACAGTATATTATGCCAATTAAAAGGATAAGAATCTTAACGAAGAACAAGACTTTTAAAAAACTTCGAGTTTATGTTCATAATAAGATAAGAAAGTAGGCTAGAGTAAAGATCATAAGTATAGAGTTTAATTTGATTCCAAACCAAGAGCAATATGGATGATAAGTTGAAACTAGAAACTAGAACTGACAGTTTCAAAATTTCAACTATGGAGAAAATGGGAATCAGCATATACCTGCTTCTGGAATGACTCGAATTCATCAGAGCTCAGGGAACCATCACTGTTTGAATCAAGAAGCTGCATCATCTCTTGTGCATCCTCCCTTTGGGCACCAAGCTCTTCCATCACTTCCATTAGTTCCTCGATGCTAATCCTACCATCACCATTTTTGTCTAATAAGAAAAACACTCTATCTTTCTGATGAATCTCTGAGTTATGGTACACAGATGGAAGATCCTTAAGACGCAAAGCAGCCAGTTCTGCTGCAGCCACCATAATGGCTTTGAGCCGTTTTGCCTGAGGAAGTTAAAAATTGAATTAAAAAATCTGTAAGATTTTTAAGTTTGTAGCTTCAGAAATTCTCTGCTTAACCAATGAGCTTTATAGAGCAAACAAATAAGAGACAAGGATGATCTTCTACAGCTAAAAATATTCAAAAACTGTAATCATTTTTTTTTTTTTTTTTTTTTTTTTTTTTTTTTTTGAGGAAGCAAAACTGTAATCATTTAAAATCTACAATAAGCTCCATCCATCGTAGGCCAAGGGATGATGAAACATACACACTGTTACCCTTTATCATTATCAATTAAAAATCAACTGTTAGTTTTCCTAAATATGATCTATTTCTTCATTTATTTTTCCCTGCATATCAATGAGCAGCATAAGTTGACAGTCTTGGTATTCTTCCTCTCCTTCCCCTTTGTTTAATTTCTTGGATAAAGCCCAAAATGTAGTCAACTGACAAACTTAGGCCCCTGGTCACAATGTTTTAGTTACTATGAAGTATATATTACGTCCCCCAGACAAATCATGACACTAGCATATTAGATCTTTTCTTGAAAAAAAAAGATACACCAGCTCCAGAAGGAGATGCTCAGCAGAAACTTCTACAACCAAAAGTTTCAACTTGATTACTGTAAAGAAGTTATGTAGTGATATTGAACGTAGTATTAATGTAAATAATAACAGCAAGAACAACCACCAGTACACATCCCATCATAGGAAGAGGAGTGTAGAGACTAGGGAGTAAGGTAACTCAATGTCACAAGTCACAACCATAATACCCCTGTCAACCAAAGAGGGTTTAATTTCTTGCCTCAGCAACGTCATACCGTATAGAACTGCAATAGTTGCTAATCAATCCAGAAGGAAAATAATTTATGACGCAATCCCATTGCGAAGAGCTTGGAAGAATAATCAACACGTGACCAGGAAGAGGGGATAATGAGTTTTCAAAACTAAATTCCATTGTTAGATTGTCATGTATAATGAAATGTCACTGGTGTAGTGGGGTGTGTGTGGGCTTGGACTATCTAGTTTGGTTGATTAATCATTACTATGACATTCAGAGTATAAAAGACTGCCAATTAATTCTAAGACAGCTTACCTCTTCTGGACCTGTAAGCCCACTTTTGTACAAGGAATGGGATGCTGTTCCACCAGAAGCTAACATATCCATCTCTGTAGTCCGTATCTGTACTTCCATCAGCGGAACTGCATGACCATCATCACTCACATCAACAGCCATGTGCAAGCTCCTGTATCCATTAGCTTTTGGTTTAGCTATATAGTCTTTCGTTCTATTAGGCATTTCTTTCCATAAAGAAAGGACAATTTCTCGAGCCCTGTAGCATGCCTTGTCTCCCACTTCTGTCATATCAACATCAGGCTTGGGCTTCAACACTACTCTCAGGCCCATGACGTCATTTACCTCCTCAGGCTTACGGCCATCTTTTAGAAGCTTCTTCATGGTGCTATAACGACTTTTATATCGACCTTTGACTGAAATATTATCAACAATCGTCTGCAACAATGGATCCATAGTCAAAGATTCAAGTAAGTGATCTCTACAAAGCTCTATTAAATCCTTGCTACCCTTCTCATACCTCTTCAACCATGTATCAACATAGAGGTAAGAAGAAGGAAACAAGTATCTGAAAGATAAATCCTCTAACTCCAGCGATAAGAAGTATGTTCCCACAGCATGAGCTAAAGGTGCGTGTATTTTCATGACCTCAAGACAAATAATCTTCTGCTGATATCTAGGAAGGTAATCTAGATGTCTCATCATATCTAGCCTCAAGACAAGATCTAAAACTACAGCCCTGATGTCATAATATGTCAGACAAAACCTCCTTATTGCAGCTGCATTATCATCATCCAGAAGCTCGGCTCCAAATGGAGCCTTTTTCACACGCAGGCTTTCATGCAGTAAATGAGCAGTACCAGTACCTATCCTATCTCTCACTTCATGTAAAGAGATTGCACCAGCCTCCCAAACTTCTCTTAGTATGCCGGCTGCAATTACCTCTGCATCCATCTGCAGCCATCAGTTGAAAATAGACTTCAGTTGATGCACGTTCAATTTTTCCAGGACTCAAAACAATCTCATGATGCATCATAGATCACAGTAGCAAAACACAACAAATGACAATTTACAAACTATAAGCTTAATCAAGTTTGTTATGCTAGTGATTTATTGATCTCTTCTTATCATTTAAGACCAGTCAAATGGGCCAATCGGGTCTGGTCAAGCTGGTCAACTTAATTTCCTGGTTTCGTTCATAAGTCGAATGTGGCGGAGGTGCCTATGCTACGTTATGTGTGTGGCCATGCAAAAAAGAAGTGCTTGAGGAATGAAATAATTAGGAAAGTAGGGGTTACACCTATTGAGCATAAGAGGGGGGAAAGTAGCCTAAGGTGGTTTGGCTATTTAAGACAAAGATCGAGTGATGCACCCGTTAGGAGGCTTTAAGAGTGGCAAAGTGATAGCATCCCGAGGGATATATATGAGAGTAGTATGACTGTATGAGTATTGGGGATAGAAGAAAACTTGGAGGATGGTTGAGAGTGGTATGAATCTATTGGGAATTGAAGAAAACATGCAATTGGATAGGGTGGAGTGGCGGGAGAATATCTAAGCAGATGACAAAAACTGACCATATATATATATATACATATTTCTTCCCATTCCATTTCTTAAACTCATTGTGTTATTGCAAACCTTTTCTCTCTTAAGCATATTTTATTTATTATATGCTATTACCTCCTTGTAATTTGTATTGGAAAGCGTAAATCGTCTTGAAAAGAGTTAGAGATTATCCACAGCTCATTCAACAAATAAGATTCCAGATTTTATAAAACTTTTTCCCTTTCATTCTAATATTATTTTCCAACACATTCTCTCATCCTCGATTCCTCATACAAGTTATAAACATCTCATTTAACTTTTCACAATTTCTAATGATAAATAATTGAATAATGACCATTATCATAATTTCAAATATAATAATGATTAGAGATATAAAACTCCAACCTTAAACAGTCAAATGGGAAGTTTATTAATAGATATAGGTAGTAGTATCATCACAATTCACAAGGATTCACTAAAACAATGTTAATCAACATACTTTCCTATAATAATTAGCAATCAACTAATTACACTCTAATCTTCTCTAAATGCAAGAAATCTCAACAATCAGTTCTTGAATAATAGCACAAACAATTTGAGTGTCACAATCCACAGACTCACTGAATAGACAATTAAATTACTTTCCCCCTTGATTTATAAAGCGTTAATCCTAATAAACACACGCTACAAATAGAAATCCAAAAAATAAAGGCTATTTCTTCACTGATTTGAAACTCCAACATTCCACTCACGAGCATTAAATGACAAAAAAAAAGAGCATTAATCCCGAGTGTATAATAAAAACCGAGACCATGGAGAATAAATGAGCTGAACCTGAAGATCAGCAAGGAGAACCGCAACCGTCAACGCCTTAGAGAGAGGTGACCTACCATCAGGAGACAAAGGAAGAGTCTGCAAAATTGGGATTGAAATCTTCAAAGCTTTAAAAAGAATCCGAGAAGAGCTAGTAGATAACACATTATAGTTCATTCTTTCAGTCAGCTGATTGAAAGCTCCAACGAGTTCCGCCACCATTTTTCCACCGGGCTGCTCCAACGCCGTCGCCGGAGTTTCCTTTTCCGCCGATGCTCGGACGCAAGCGACGGTTATCCGGCGCCGGAGAAGGGTGGTTGAAGCGCGGAATATTGGAATTAGGGTTTTGAGATTGGGGATTGTTGAGTGGAGAATGAAGTCGTGAGATCGGAGCTCCATTGAAGGATGAAGAGAGAGAAAGGGAGAGGATTTTGGGCGGGTGATTGAGTGAGAGTGATAATGTATGTGGAGTTGGTTATTGTGGTGTGTTTTGTGGTCGTTATTTGTTATCGCAGACATTGGTCCATTTTGAAATGTGGGTTTCGGTTAGCCAACTAAGCTAGCTGATATTCATTAGCGATAATTAATTTTTCATATTACACTATTATATCTATGTGAATCTATCATATGTTATTACAATAAGGTAAAGGAAAACGAAATTATAAGACTCTGTTCACGAGGGGAACACATAATGCATTTGAAACAATGAGAAATAAATTAGAGTTATTATAAGGAATCATAATATCCAAACTATCTAAAACTAATTGAAAACTTCCATACATAAAATATAACAATATGGTAGAAGTGGATCATCTTGTGTTAAGCCTCTAGATGATTTGAACCATTACGTTGTTTTTACCTTTATTTTAAGGGAATATGTGTTATTAAGTAAAGGATTCTCGTATCCAATTGATCTATTGCATTAGACAACCAAATGCTATTAATATGAAGTTTCATTCTATATTATTATAAGTTTTTTTCATATTGAGTTTAAGGGCATACCAACTTGTTTTGTTATTTGATTCTTGTACAAAGTTCAAAACTTCTTGTATAATAAAGATATTATCATGCATAGACCAATATGGAGTGATTGAGCATATTTTGAAGAAGGCTAATTGACCTTTGGAGAATAGAATATAATCGACAAACATCTACTCGTAGTTTCGAAATTGCTTTGTAAATTGTATTTACTAAGCTTATGGGGTGCAAATAGTTGGACATATCTATCTTATAGGGATCAAAGTGATTAGAGTGCAATTATCAAAGTGATAATATGTAGTCCCGTTACTTTTTTGTTGTACTAAGCTATCATTATATCCCTATTATATACTAATAAGTATATAACTTTTCTCCCTTTAAAATACCTCTCTAGCTTTGTAAGGATTCATATGAAAAGAAACATGCTTTTAATTTCTTCATTTGTTACTTGGCTAATAATAAGTTGCAATCTTCTATTCTATGAAATAATTGGATCGACGAACGAGAGGCATATGACACTAACGAAATATTTGCGGACTAGCCGGACTTAAATCTATTTTTGAATGAATCTAACAAGAAGGAATAATTTCTTTTCTCGAGGGGGTTTGGCACATGGGAGTGGGAATGGGAATTTTAATCCCTATTAAAAAAAAAAAATTTACGGATTGAGAATGAAAGAGGGAATAAATGGAATGAATCTCCACCATTTTATTACCTAAGAAAGGTAGGTAAAATGAAAGGGAATGGAAATAGGTAAAAAAAAATGACATTTTTGCCAATAATGAAAAGAATAAAGGAGAAAGGTTAGTAAGGGTGATTTTGGATTTTTGTTATTTATTCCTTATCTATTCCTATCCATCACTCAAACAAAGTATTGCCATATTTTTATTTTTTTCCCAACAATCAATTCTCAATCCCATTCTCCCATTGTAATCTCCAAACACTCATTCTCATATTCCAAACGCCTCGTGATTGTTGTCAATACAACATACAAGTATTGAAATAATTTTTTAGCGTATATATTGTGTTACTTCTTACTTGTGATCATTTTTCTCAATTTATTGTGAAAAAACGTGTGTTTTTATCCCGGCCCCTTCCATTAGCAAATAACAAAGTTTCATATGCCGGCTACACCGTGTGGTCGGTGTGGCCAACGACTTGGTCAAAGTTTACTCAGCCAGGGGTTATTTGGTCAATCAGGGATTACTCGATCAGCCATGGGTTACTTGGTCAATTGTTACTCGGTCGGTTAGGGGTTGCTCGGCCGGTCAGGGATTACTTGATCAGTGTTTTGGTGTGTGTCAGTCGGCCACACGGTGTGGCCAGCCACACTAAAAATGCGCTTAATGTTACTTTTTTTTTTTTTTTTTTTTTTTTTTTTTTTTTTTACGAATATTATATATGTTACTTAATCTAAATACTTCGTATATTTTAAATTATCATTTTCATGGCTAAATCTGATAACCTAAATTTAATTAACTCTAAAAAAAACCTCAAATAATACTCCCTAGAACAACAATATTAAAAAAACCCCTAGAATAATAATACAACAAAAATAAAACGACAATTAAAATCATATAATACCACATATTAACCATATATATACAAAACTTGATCATATGAACAACAAAGCACAAAATCTAAACATAATAATACATAGTACAACAAATACAAACAAATTATAATCAAATAACTCAATAAATTAATAGTGTGATTACAAGACAAAAATATATTAACATACGACTCCAAAATATTGATAATGTGATTACCCTTCCGGCTAAATCAATCCCATAATCTACACCCTCAACAAAAATAAATTGTGAAGGCCTTTGGTAATTGACTTGCATGATGATGATAATGGAATCATGAGTATAAATATTTACTACATGCATGCTTTGATGATCACGAAGGGTTAACTTTATTGAAAGACAATTGCTCGGATTGCATGATATTGATAATCAACTGTAATAGGCAAGAGCTCATTCACAGCCAAACCATCACAAAAGTGACAGCTTCATATATATGTATATTTAGGGTTTAACAATTTTTTCTTTTTTTTGGTAATATACGTAAACTATTTTTTTTTTTTTGAATAAACATATGTAAACTATTTTATGATTAATAGTTTACATATGTTTATTCAAAAAAAAAAAAAATAGTTTACATACATTACAAAAAAAAAAAGGAAACATTATTTTGATTAATCCCAACTTTACCTCACCTGTCCAAACTAATCTCAATTTTCAAATTTTTATTAATCCGGACTTTATACTCCTTCTTCTCATAACACTCCCAGGACTGGTGACTTGTTGAGTAGCTAATTTTTATTTTAAGTTTAATATACACATGTCAGCATGTGATGAATGGACAAAAAAAAAAAACAAAAAAACTAAAACCACCTTCACCATGGTCACCCCGCTGCCACCCACAGCCAGCCCTACCCCTTCCCCACGAGCGTCGGCCGCCGCCCAGACCCCCTTCCCCTCCCCCGGTGTCGGCGCTGCCCCGATCACCCTCCCCTTTCCCCTTGAAATTAGTTTTCCAGAAACCTTAAGCTCATTAATTCCATGGATAATCCACCTGATCAAACCGATCAACCCCAATCCCAATGTTGTCAATCTTTAATCACCAGATCTGAAGCTCATTCGTCGGAAATTTGTACACACTACTAGAAATAGGCCGTTTTCCGACGGAATCGTTCCGACGGACAATTTTTCCGTCGGAAATTTTGAATTTTTCGACGGAATTTTGTCTGTCAGAAAGTTCCGCCGGAAAATTCGTCGAAATCTTTCCGACGGATTTGGTTTCCCTCGTAAATTTACTGCTTCCGACAAAATATTCGTCGGAATCTTTCCAACGAATTTTCTTTCCCTCGTAAAGGTACTGCTTCCGACGGAATATTCCGCCGGAAAATGTATTCCGACGGAATATTCCGTCGGAAGCTGTAAATACCGAGGGAAAATATTCCGTCGGAAATAATAAAAAAATTAAAAAAAAATGCGAAGGAAGTTCAGCCCAGATTCAGAATACGAAGAGAGAGAAAGGGAGAGAGAGGAAGAGGAAGAGAAAGAGAAGGAGGAAGAGAAAGAGAAAGAGGAAGAGAGAGAGATGGAGTTTGCCGGAATTCCGACCACCACTGAGCCGCCTCAACCACCGAACCGCCGGCATTGTTAAGGTAAGTTCTTTGCCATTTTCCTTTTTTTTTCTTGAAACCCTAACCACCACCATGTCAACAGCCACCGGATTTCACCACCACCACCTGCCGTGACGCAACCGCCGCCTTGTGACTCCAACGCCGCCGCTCGGTCTGCCGCCATTGATTAGTTTCTTTGCCCTTTTTTTTGTTTTTTTTTTTTAAAAAAAATTGACAGCATAAACAATAATTTTTGAAATTTGGAGAAGGCTATACATATATTCTACAATTGGATATGCTCGATCTTTTTACGAGTACTTTTATAGTTTTATATGCTTGTTGCTCCGTCTAATTCTGCTTTCTTCCTCAGTTAAGATTGTTGAAATTATATCATCTTGAGAATTGAGTATATAATTCTAATAGGGAAAATAGGGAAAACATTTTAATAGATCTTTTTTTAAGGCAATGATTTCTCATATGGTTTTAGTAGGCTAGTAGCATCATCTAGGAGCCTTCAAACTTATTAGCGGCTTTTCTAACGTGCGTCCATGGGTACACATTAAAAACACAGATTCCTTATATATAATTTGATATTGAAGAATATTTACAAGTTAATAAAAGGTAATTTTGGAAAATAATAAAGTATTCGATACTTCTTCTATTACAAGATTTATTTACCAAATATTTTCAAATATTAAAATAAGTTAATTTTTTTAAGAAAATTAACATTAAATATTTAGATGTAGTTAGTGTACTTGGTATTATACAGAGTAATTTTTTACGTATAGTGTACTTGGTATTACATTTTTCTAAATGAAAGATTGGAAAAAGAAAACTATGTTGTTAAACTTGATATGTATTTAGTAATGTAATAAAGTGTGTTCGGATATTGTGTGAGCTCTAAAACTCTCATTTCTCGATATACAACTTTTTTTTGAATTGCGATATACAACTTTTCAATTCACAAATTTAAACCTCAATTTAATAATTGTGCTCATTTATTTGTTTAATTTAGTTTAATTATGATATATATTTGTTTAGTATAATGCTCCTTTACTTTATATATTTTGTAGATGAATCATTTGCATAATCATTTGCCTAGATACCCGTTCAAGGCATACACATTAGGAGTATGTCCTTGTACGCTTATTCTCACTTAGGTGGTGAATGTATACCTTGTTATTGATTCTAAGGAAAATCCTGCCTTTTCATTTCTCTACAATGTTCTCTGGGTACATATGTGTTTAATCGCCTACATCGTGTACTTGGAGAACTGTAGGGAAATGCTGGCGAATTTTCCATAGAATTGAAAACCTGGCTTACATTCACTAGTGAGATTAAACGTACAAGGATGGGTTAGGTTGGAGTGATAAGGACCCTTT